CCGAAACGGATTTACAATCCTGATTGAAGCCAAAAAAAAATATACGTAAGTTACTAGTCACTGATTATTAAAGTTATTTTATTTTCCACTAGTGGTTCTTTTGTCGGATACTTTTTAGTATCCTATCGACGGCGCCTGTGAAATCGTTTATATAATATAAATGAATAAATGAACCGTGATATTATCACTAAGGTCAACGGCGAAATAATTCTTTAAATAACAATGCGAGCAAATTTTGGGCGTGGTGTTTAATTGATGATCAGCTTAAGACTAAAAATTCAGTAGAACTTATTTTATAATGAGAAGCTTATTACTACGTAAAGACGCGCAGCTGCAATTATCTAAGTAAGGTGTTTATTGCTTTGCTTAGCTGTATGGATGCAGCTGCAATTATCTGAATAATGTTTTATTGCTTTGCCTAACTGTATTTATGCTTTTACAAGCGACGAGCGCTTGCAGATTCGCAGCTGCAATTATGCTGCCTTCTTATATTTGTCACTATAACTGTGCATATGTGCGAATATGCCACTATATAACTTCTTAACATGTAAGTTATTGCCCGATTGAATCGCGATCTCTATCATCTCTTTATGATGATATAGCTTAACACACGACAATTGGAAACTACCTAAGTTAAATAAAGATGAACTAACAACACAAAACTTCTATATTAAAAACTTTTAACTATCTTCTCAATTAGGGTACACAGAGCTTCTGTACAAGTCGGGCGAACAAGTAGTTGTGATGTTGTGGTGAAGTTTTATTTGCAAGTTGTCCCATTAACTAATCTATCCCAAATAAGAGAACAAGTTACGTTTACAATTCCTGTATTTCGGACGACTAAAGATATTAACTGCCTGTAAAATTCTCTGCCTTCAAGCCACACTTAAATGTGTAGCTTTAATAAAATCATTACGTGTAGAAACAAATTGAGTCTAGGTTTAAAGTGTAATAACTCTATATCGCCGCATTTTTAATAAATAAATGAATGGCATTAACGAGCCTATGCGATTGCTGACAAATGCGGCTTGGACAAGACTAATATCATCAGCTGACACTTGTCACGATGCTATATTATTTAAAGAAGAAGCACACGATTAATCGTATCATTGTCGCAAGATTTCTATGAACTCAAAATACTTGGAAAGGGCCCACATCATTGAAGCATAAATCGCAAAGTAAGGATCATTGGAAAACTATAACAGAAATACCACCTAGTGGGGAAGCATTTTTAAAAATTTGTTTTAAACGGGAGCTCAACAGAGAAATCAATTTGGAACCTACCATACATATTCATCTATAATAATAAGTTAAAGGTCTATTAACCTTGAATGCCGAATATTTACTATATCAATACCTAAAGCTTACAAATCGGAAACAGATTGATTTATAGTTACATTGTCCCTTCTAATCTCGTTTTCTGCTTCAGGCAACCTTGAAATTTCTTTCTGGAACTTGTTTATATATGTTAATTAACGACTTAACTGCAGCAAGCACAGGGATCTAATAAAAACTGGATATCTATGTTGGCTTTCTGCAGTAGAAAAAGGTGAATATTTTAAGCCATAAGCTTATTTGCTGTGAGTGATCGCTTTAAATACATTTTGGGCTTCTTAGCAGGTATGGCTTCTTACAGGTGGAAGCGCCATATTTGTGTGATAATCGGATTTGCGTAAAAGGGCAGAAAGATTTGGAGTTTACAGCAAATGTAGCCGTTTTCATTCTCACAAAAACCACATAATCAGGAGTTGATCATATTTAAGTTGTTTACATGGATTATTAAGTTTTTCTAAAAGTTTCGCTAGCTTAATAGCAAATTCAATTATTTTTTATATATTTCTATCAGTCTGTAATAGATATAAGATTATTGAAGCTAACTCGCATCAAGCCATAAATGAACAATAAAGACCAGGTCACTAAAATGGCTGATTGAGTAGGCTTTCTTTTGGCAATACCAAATACTTACACCTTTTATGAATCCATTGCAACCTGCTAGAAACTTACATTTACACAGCTTTAGCATAAAAATTTTAATCGTTTTTTGCATGCTAAGAAAATGATGAATAAGTCAATGTCAAAATGAAAGCCGAAAAAAATGATAAACAATATTGTATACAACTAGTTTCAACTCTTTCAACATAGCAAGTACGTCCGTTTGCTATACAATAGTGGACAAAAGTACTTTGACATTAGAGAAATAAGATTGATGCGGCGATTTCTTATGATTTATTGAGTTTATAAATTAAATTTTAACGACTTTTAATTTTATAAATAATATATTACTTTTTAAATTCAAGAAATGATAATATTTAATATAACAGTTTCGTAAAAAGTCAATCTAAAATTGTTGGTGGGCAAAAGTATTTTGACAATTCAATGTTGTTTGACATAATGAGAAAAAAGGTTAATATTGCTGATAATTACAAAAATAATTAATAAAAAGTAAACCCTCTAGTTGGCACCTAGACTCGGGCCGGGGCGCGTATTTGGCACGGATTTCTAGCGTCGAAAAGAAACAACTATTTCGAAGGTTCGTTGTATTGTAGTGTGTATGTACATATGTATATGCCTTAAATGAACACCCTGTATTCAAACATATAGTATGCGGCACTTTGTTGCATACAATAACAATTATTCACTAAACAGCACAGAGCCACTTTAATGTATTGGCTCTGGCTCATATTACCCAGCGCGGTTCACTAGCCCACTAGCTGACCGTTTATGCTGCATATCCCACGCTCCGCCTGGAGCGCATTCCATGAGCAAAATATATATGTATGCTCACTAACACAGGCATATGCAAGCTACACACTCTCTCTCTTTGCAGCTGTTAACCGATAACAGCATAAGTATGTATATATGTATGTACATATGTATGTACATGTATTAATAGGCTAAGCATGAATCTTTAAATTGGAATAAAGACTTTCTGAATATGATCACCAAACAGCACTGACGTGCTCCAGCTTTTTTATTTAATACAAAATATCAATATAAAGACAACACTTATTACAACATTTCTTACAGTATGCTTTACGATTCGATACGATATGATACGATACGATACGCTGAAATCTTTATTATATTTCCATTACTTAAGAACCTACATATATTTTACAACTTGATGTGACTTACACTTCTGCTCAGCTGCAAGCACAAAACGAAAATGAACCTCGACGAAAAGGCAAATTGTGCAGCTGCGTGAGATCGACTTTTGTATGTACAAACTAATTCTAACGGTGCGCTTCCAGTGTATGACGCGAGCGCTGCTTACAAAAAAATGCGAGACCCAGTAGGACTTAGTGACAACAGCTTTTTTCACTTCGCCCCTTCACATTGAGTAATAAAGAGACAGAGCTTGCTCCGAGCTTTTTTTACCGTTTTGAAAATCCCGAGAGGTAGATCGAGTTGGTCCGCAAACGCAAAATAAAACTCAAAAATAAAGCTCATTTACTATGGGAAGCAACAACAAATCACTCGCAAAACACTCGCGCACGAAAACCGATTTT